TTGTCTAACAAGACAAAGGAAATTAAACAAGGTCTGCCAAAATGTACGAGAAATGCAATTCTAACAAAGAAGGAACAAATAATCATCACAAATTCGGCATTCGATCCACTGTTCATCTATGGTTCTGCTCAGCTTCATACTGGGCAATCGTGTATACCCGTGCTCGACCTCCTTCGCCATACCTTGGTTGGGCCTGCTGTTGCTGCTGCCGGTGCTGAATCTGTTGTTGAGGCAGCGGCGGGGGAAGCTGTTGATGTTGGGGCTGCCGCAGCTGGAGGGGTTGCTGGTAAGGCTGCTGCCTCGGGGGCTCGGTGCAGTTGCTGTAGAAGTGACCGGGCTTCATGCAGTTGAAGCAGACTCGCTGGACGAAACGGCACTCTCCTGGATGATAACGACCACAGTTACGGCACTTCGGAAGCTGGTCTTGAGCGATGGGGTGCTCACCATGATGGTCATTCCCGCCACGCTTCCCCTCCCGGTTGTCCCGATGGGAATGGGCCTTCTTCTTACCCGAACTAGAGCCGGGCGGCGCGGTGGAGATGGGCTGAACCAGCTGAGCAGAAGGGACAGAAGTATCGAGAGTCTGATAACTCTCAAGCTGGGTGGCTCGAATAACAGTCTCATCAAAGGGAAGATCCCCCTGGCTAGCAACATGCATACGGAGGGTTTGATTCAGACCGTCCCAGAACTTGTGGGCCTTCTTCAGATCTGTGTCCACCATGTGTGGAGCAAATGCGCTCATGCGGGTGAACTCCCGCTCGTACTCCTCAACGGTACCAGTCCCCTGGGTAAGATCCCAGAAAGCGCGCTCCATCCTCATGCGATAGCCCTGAGGATAATACTTCTCAAGGACCAGTTCCTTCATGCGGTCCCAAGTCAGAACATTCAGCTCGGCCTGCCTCAGTCTCCAATAGGTGGACCACCATAGGGCGGCACTGCCCTTAAGCATATAACGACCACAAATAACCTTCTGCTCGTCAGAGCACTGCAGGAGGTCAAAGTTCTGCTCTAGCTGACGGATCCACTCCGCCACAGCCTCAGGCCCTTCAGTCCCATGAAATTCTGGCGGAGTTAGACTCCGAAATTGGAGCACGATTTTGAGATGAGCCCCTGCTGGATTGGGAGCCTGTTGGTGAGGGGGAGTCGGGGGTGGAGATGGAGACGGAGAGGGCTGTGGGTTGCGAGCATTACGACGAGCCATAGTTCTATATTGAACAACTGAAAAGTTTAGCACAATAACAAAAGAAGTCTAGAG